TTATTACAATTATTATATATTGTCTGATGAAATTAACCATTAGAAATTTTCTTATTTAATTTAGCGATGATTTATTATTTTATATAATAAAGCAATCATGTTTCAACATTGAATCGTCTTAATTTTAAGCCGTTTATTTTAATCCTCTATTTAAGTTCTTTTCCTCCTTTCAGCAAACATCAGTTCTCGCTTGATTGGCGACTGTGGGTGTGAGACTATTTCAGTGGAGTCAGAGAAGTGTGGATAGGTTTCCAGCATCAATCGCGTTTTAAGGACAATTTATTTATTCATTCAATTAAAAAGCATTTTTTCACTGAGCTTTTTTTAGTTAAACTAAGTTAAAAATGGTTGGTGCTGGATGTACTACTGTTTATGTTATTACTGTTAATGCTACCCTGATAAGTGCTGATAAAAAATGATAGGAGAATTAATACTGATTAATGATATTGGCATTAACATTGTGATTATTAAGAATTAACAATGATAATATTAATATTCATAATGGTAATAATAATAATACTAATTAATTACAAAGTATCAATAAAAGTGATCGAACAACGAAATACGAAGAAAATAAGAAAAAAAACCATTTTTTTATAAAAACGTGTAAAACTACTTTTTCTCGAAATAAGCAACAATTTATGTTTACAGATTGCTTTAATCGGTTATTTTATGAAATTACGTGTAAAGAAAGAAAGAATCGAAGATGCTAAATAGCATTATAACTCATACGCTTCATGTAACTAATGAAACTGATTCGTTAGTTACCATACTTAATAATGTTAAATATTGAAATATTTAAAGCATTAGACATTTAGACACGCATTTAAAGCATAATGGAGGACGGCATTTCTAAATGCTAAATATTTTCAAAAATTTCCAAGCATTTTACTGCATTAGATAATTCTCATCCACAGATCACGAATGAAGGAAATTAATCCAATAATTAATAAGCGCTAAGGGCGGAAATCCGCGAATGTCGTTTCTGTGAACCTATTAGTGGAATCAGTTAACCATAAGTGATAAGCGCTTCTAAAAAATTTGGATTTTTTTTATTTGACCAATTCTCGTTTTAGTGATTTCAAGTAAAAAATAGCTGAAACAAATGGATGCAATCAATTGTATAGAAATTATAAATTATATATGAAATGTTATTGATTCTCGAAATGATGAGAACGAAAAGCAAAATGCATCAAATATCGCAAAAAATAAAAATGATTTATATATTTGAAATGAACAAACAAAATTTTAAAAGAAAAGCGTATATTCAAATGAGTCGAAGAATACATAGTTCGGCTTGGAAAAGAGAGTATGCGGCATGGATTCGATGGGAATGCACGGCAATGAGAGCATCCATAATTAAAAGTGAAATCCGAATGATCAGTGGGATTCTCTACGTGACACTCACGCTCACAAACATCTAAAGCAAACTTTTGAAATTCATTCCCATAAAAATGCTTTTCGATATTCTCAAAAAAGAATTATTTATATTTTACAAATAATGATTGTTGTAATGTTTGTCTATTAAGTAATTCTAAAGATTCGAAAAGATTCACAAAATTCGAACATCGGAATAATTAATCGTTCAAAAATCAAGGTCATAACCACGATTCAATTACATTTTTCTAAAAGACTTTCTTTCTTTGTTTAATTTATTTTATATAATTAAAAATATGGATTGTAAATATAACTAAATTTCCATTTGGTTCATATTATTTACCATTTATAATCATAAAAACCCAATTATTTAATTCCGATAGAATTAGTTTTTGCACCGTCGAAAAACTTTTAAGGAGAAAAGACTGAAATCAAGCATTATTGCTTCGAGCCCCTTCAAAAAATAAACCTATCATTAAAAAAGTGCCTAACGACTCACTCACACTTTTATCCCACGATGATTCCCTGGAGAAAGAACCTCACTCCTATCAGCCAAAACAGCCAAACCAGGAATGAAGGATGATGGTGATTTATGAGCGGGTTTATTATATTAAATGGCTCCAGTCTTTTGTTCTATTTTTTTAACATGGATTGCGATTTAGATATTAGTATCGTTCTTTTCTTGCTCATATTTTATTTTCCATCATTGAAGCTGATGCTTATCTCGCGAAGATCTAATCGAGGCTTGGATTAATACGGTCATGTGAAATTTTCAATTTGGTATTTTCAATGTTAGTGGTATATGGAATTAGAAGGTGGAAAAAGAGAATGGTTTCCTCTCAGTGGTTTAGTGCCTTATTCTAGTAACCAGTGAAATCTGCCCAGATCGATGGCTTTTTTTGGTGATTAATATGTCAAAACGTTTAATACAGTTGCAAATGGATTAATGGAACTCTGCGATTGGATGGACCGAAATAAAGTAATTTTTTTCTGGTAAAACTTTCATGCAAACCCTATATATAAATATATAAATATAAATATTAATTAAAACCTCCTTAAACTTATTAACAAACTTTTTTTCTGATGGAATATGGAATCAAAAGTTTAACTTAGAGCGATAGAAAATCGCAATTCTTCGAGTTGGTTTTTCCCGGATTATGAATGACAGTTCCACACATGCATCGGCTAGGAAAATGGCTTACTCGCTACTTACTTTTAGGTTTCCACAATAAGTTCATTAAAGCATAAATCGATAATTTTTCGAATTTTCTTGATTTTTTCCAATTATTCTAACAAATACTTTTCTTACTTTTCAAAATAAAAGAAGAAAAAGCGAAACCATTTTGGTTCATATTTTAATTAAATTAATCAATTAAAAGATAAACGATGGTAATTTTCCTTTTTAAATTTAATTAGTCGCGTGGAAACGTGAAAACACGTAAAGGCGACGAGTTTTTTTTAGATTTCAAAAACCGTATAATTTGAAACGAATACTTCGAATGAATGAATAACTAAAATTTTTTCATTTTTTAGTGAAACAAACAATGAACTTATAAGTCGAAATGATCCTTGGGACATCGCTCAATTTTCGTTTTCTTCATTTTAAGCAATTTCTCGGAAATATATGAAGTATAAACCTTTCGACAAAATCAATAAACGGCACCAGGATTATGCAACACAATACGACGTTACAGAAAACTGAACGTATTATTTATTTATTCGTCAAACGTTTTTAAACAAACCATCGATCGTACGTCATCAACAACGATTACCATTCATTACATCCATCCACCCCAACGCACCCAAAAATCCAATAATTCCTGCTTTTTCCTGCCCGTTTACCGGTTTACTATAATTTCAAGTTCATCTACTCCAGTGACGCCTAACAATATAAAAAAATTTTTGGTTTGGTTGACAGCGAGTTTAGAAATTACGGATATATGGTAGCTATAATTTCTACTTCGATTCATCCACTGCAATCAAGTGAAAAGAACCTCTGCAGTCCATCTTCAGTCGAAGAAACTTAGTATTCTTCAACCATCGGTCTCCCAATCATTGATATTTTTAAGCAGCAAATATAAATGCAAAATTTCGTTAAAATATTCTGCATAACCTTTTCACATTTCAAATTTAATGAAATTTTAATAGAAATAAACATAAAATATACAAAAATTGGTTTTATCTGTTAAAAATAGCCAAAATTTTCGATTGTCAATTCAAATCAAGAATCATCACTATTATCACTTTGTTGCGATTCTTCAGCATCATTGCGGAATGCATTATCATTATTTTCTTCTTCATTATCATTATCGCTCGAATCTTTTCCTGACACTAAAATTCTCTTGATTTGTTTAGGCTGATATTTCAACATTTAAAATTGTAAGATAACGAAGACTGATATCTTATTAAGTCGAATTGCTATTAAGAACATTCATCATTTCTGGTTAAAAAAAATTGTACGAGAGTCATCTGCAGATGGAAAAAAAAGATGGATACCCAGCTCCACCAGGATTTTTTTGATATTCTTACCAGCGACAGGAACCGAACCATGATTAATATAATTTAGACGGTGCATATTCAATCATTCCGACCCTCTATTATAACAAATTCCGCCAACGTTTTTTTTTAAGAGGTAATGAGGAGAAGCGGTTAAAAAAATCTAGGTTTAATAGTATCATTTAAATTTATAACTTTACGAAAGAATCACTGTGCAACAAAATTGACCAGTTAAACTTCCGACCACGATTAATTTTGATAATTAATTCAGTTAGAATTGGTTCTATCAAAGAAAAAAATATATCATTTTTGTAATAAATAAGATTACTTACCATCATCATCTCTATCCTCATATGGGTGAAGTAAATTGTTTAAACGCTCTTGCTTAAATTTATTGAATATTAAACATTAGAAATCATTAGTAAAAAATCACCACTAAAATGCATCAATGATTTTCAAAGAAAATTATTCATTTCTCAAACTTTTTACATCATTAAAAAAACGACCTATCGATTAAATGAATTAAAAATAACAAAAAATGAAATCATCGATACCTGAGCAGCTATTTCGCTATCATCATAGGTTCGATTTCGCACTTGAAGAGTAGTTTGTTGCTGAATGACAATATTATTAGATAAGCGCGACAAAAAAAAAACTAGACTAGACAACCATTAGCATAATTAAATTTTCATATCTTCAGGAAGATTAGTTCATAATAAAATATAAACAATTTTTTTGCCGGATTATAAATAATTTTTAATAATGCCCATAGCAGATGCAATTTAAATATAATTTAAAATATTAAAATATCCACAGTGAAAAAAAAAATTTCAATGCTTCATATAAAAATGAATAATAAATCAAATATGTTAATGCAAATCGAAGCCCAGATATCACTTTGTGGTTTAAATATTGATGAAGTAGCAGAATATACTAAAAAGGCCATACAATGCAAATTTCTTTTAACGACAAGCATTAATGGTTTGTCTGGCACAATCCAAGGTGGATCCTTTGGCCGAATAACCATTTTGATTTCATTCTTAATGACAGGTTTCTTCTTGCTAAGGTATAGAGTCTAATACATATTGCTTGCCTCCCAGCCAAAACAAAGTGGGACTCAATTAATCTTAACAACGCGCGTACTGAACATTCAAAATCAACTCTAGAAACCATATGAAACTTACTCTGAATCGTTTAGCTTTCCTTCGTGTAAGAGAAACTTTGGTCTCAAGTTCGTTATAGAAAACTCCTCCACCGCGAAATGAAAATAGGTAATTGTCGTGTTCAAAACCTTTGGTTGATTTATTACGCACAAGCCAATTATAATCTCGCATCGAATTGTATTCATATCTAAATTTCTGAATAATCAAATCATTATTCTTTTAGCACCATTATTGGTTAGTTCCCCTATAAAGAATTACGACGCCTTCAAGCAGTTCGATCCGATGATATACCTGAGAAAAAAAATCCTTTTCTCATGGTCCAAGCCATATATCACTGAGCAGCCTATACGTTTAATATGTCTTATATACTAACTTATTGGTCCTCTTCGCCATTAATAAGAATTTAGCAAATAGTGATATATGTGCCCATTCCACTGAAGAGCAGCGAAGAACATGGCGCAACCAGCGTAGATAATGTTCTGACGATATTGTGAATGCATCTGATCGAATGTGCATAAAATTTTATCCGCTCGGTGACCATGTAAAATGTGCCACATTTATGAATATTTATGAATAATATTTATGTTTACGAAAATGTGCCATGTTTAGAGAGGTGCCTTCCATTTATATATTACAACTATAAAACGTGAAAACACGTAAAGCGAGGACGGTACGTACTGCACATCACCTATACAGATTGATTTGATTTGATTTTGAGGCGATTCCATATAGAAATTACGCATACAAGCACCACTTCGTATTTCATTGACCATTTAGCATAATAGCAGGCATTTAAAGCCTATTACTTTCTTGACCAACAACAAAATGACAGAAACATCAGTGTCTGGAATATAAGACGAAAAGGATTTTGCCTTATATTTACACTGCCCAGTTTTTACTGCAGCTGTCACAACAGTATCTCTTGTATTTTTTGATAACTATAAGCAAAAAGGATCATCAGCAACATTTAGGCACTCCTTAAACTTTGGTGTCCATAATGCAATCTAGTTGAATACAAAGGAAAAGAAACAGCATTTATTTCAAAATGATCTGTCAGTTCCCCACAGATTTCTTCCAAACAAGAAAATTTATATATAATATCAACCATTTAAAAAAACACAAAACTAACATATAATCTGGGTCAAAAGCAATTTTATCCTCTATATCACGCGCACGTTTTTCAATCGTTTCTTTAGCTGGTAAAAAATAAGTGACAAATTGTTCTCCTTCTTCGTCCATCATACCACTGAAAAAAATATTCATTTAACAAAAAATCATTGGTGATATCATATACATCAAAATTAGTAAATCATAATTTATATTCTCTATGCATTAAACAATTAGAAAGAATGCAAAATGGTTTGGTGATTTCCATCCCGAAGTTTGATTCTGAGATTTTACTTACGACAAGAGTAATACTTTCAAAATTCGAGTGACACTGACGACTTACCTGTATTTATGTTATCAAGTGACTCTCTGGCAAAACTTGTCCAGTCCAATAAACGAGAGAAGCGAATCTAACCAGAAATGATGAGCGTTCTTAGAAAAAAATAAAAAAATAAGGAAAAATTTGTAATAAAAATATCAAAATTTTGGCTAAAAACTTACCGAATAAGTGCCTGAGACATCAATTCTTGAGAATTTGTTTTTTCATCCTTAGGTATAGGATCGCCATCAAAAATGACTAAAGCAAATGGATGCGACCAATTCTGAATTCATACTAAATTTGTCGCAACTGATATTAATGTTTCACTTATTATATAAAAGAAATAAAGAAATAAAAAGAAAAAGAAAAGAGAGTCACATGCATATTCTCAAATGACTCATAAAGTTTTAGAAACCTGAGATGGTAAGTGATAAAAAAATTATTGAATTACCTCGAAATCAGGCAACAATGGAAATTCCGCTACTGCAGTTACACCTTTTCTCGACGGATGTTCAGTTGCATGATTAGCGACCTAAGAAAGAAAGAGAGAGCATTCTATTTCTATAAATAAAAAAAACAATTTACGCAAAACATTCCAGCAGATTGAAAAGATAGAAAATTACATCGTCAAATGTTTTGTTGATTGCTGCAATTTGGGATGCACGATCACGATACAAAATCTCATTATGAAGCTTCTTTCTGGTACTATATCCGATCTAAAATGAATAAAAGATCTCAAAATAAAACATTCAAATGAGAACTAGATCAAAAATTGTTAGAAAAAAATAGACTGAAATTTTAATAAAAATTCCATGTTAAAAAATGAAACCTTGGTTTCTTGCCTTTCAACTGCAACACCGAAACGGGTAAATTCTGAACTGATATATTCTGTTTTCCTCATCCATGGAACCATTTTACTATGCTGTTGTGATCTGCAAACAAAACCAAAATGGAACCATTAAAATTTATCGATTCATAGATGAAATTATTACATTCAAAGTGAAAAATGTTTCGAAAAATTAATTTTTAAACCTCCGAATATTCTGAGGATTGGCCTGTTCATCTTCAAGAAGTTCCAAGTCTGTTGGATGATGCTTTAAACAGATAAATTAATGAAAAATCAATCCTCTTCAAGAGCATTAGAACAAATATGAGAATATAAACAATTATTCTAAAAGAATTCCAAGAAAAAAGGTAACTTGTTTTTTGTCAGCATCATTATCAATGTAATAAGTATCAGGATTAATGAGATCAATTTCGATACCGAGATCTGCTTCTGCCAACAATTCAAATTTGAAGTTTTTTTCAAGACTTGATGGTTTATAATCAACGAATCTGAAAAAAAATTGGCTTTCTAAACAATAAAAGAAACTTAAAAAGTTAATGATTTCAACGATAAAACACCAGCTAATTAAATTTTTTGCAAAATTTATTCAAATTTCTTCACTATATTTGCAAAGTTATAAAAATTATGTTATAGGCTCAAAAACATCACACTTGGGTTTCAGAGTAAATATAAGCAAATAAACAGTAATAATTAAGTAAAAAATTTCGAGACCTATTTAATGATACGAAAGGACAAGCCAAAAATTTTGTATCGAAAGGAATATCCGGTAAGGCATTCGTGTATTTTATGCGATATAAAAAATCCGTTTTTCTGCAAATAAAACCATTTGCATGAAAATGCTATAATTTTAGAGAAAAATAACAAAGTGTGAAAATTATTATTCTAAAATAAGCGATTGAAATATTGAGAAGAGAAAAAATATAAAGTGGAAAATTTCAACGAGAAAAAATCTTTTCTGCAGAGTAGATTTTTTTCTAAAAACTGAAAATATTTATTAAGTGAAAAAATTATTAATATCAATTATTAATCTGCTCAGAGGTGAAATCCGCGCTTTCAGTGGAAAACTCATTTCGTCCTCTTCAAAATGAACGCGAAGAGAATGGGAAGGAGTTCGGCCGGAAATGGGGGTTACCCTAAATTCGGGGATGCATGACTGGAAAGGACCGCTCGTTGCAACGAACCAACACGACGAACAGAAGATTGCAGAAAGAATTCGTCGAATAAAAGCGAACTTACAAAGACTTTTCGTCGTGGCGATCTTGCAAAGAAGAATGACGACGAAACGAGCTGGAAGAAGTCGAAACGTCGTTCACTGTAGTTGGCATATTGCTAAAAAATGGAATTAAATTAAAATTTATTTCGAAAAAATATAAAAAGAAATAGTAAAACAACTCACCGTTGTTTCATTTCTAACTGAATTTAAAAATTTTTATCAGAAATCCGAATGATTTTCAATTTTATTAAATACTTTCATATAAATTATGCCTCCAAAACACTAAAGCCAAAATCAAAACACGAAAATGAATGAACAAATGATCAACAGTAACAGTACCAACTAATAATAACAAACAAATCAAATAGCCTTCAGTACGGGCCGAGAATTAATATTTGTCAGCCACCGAAAGGTTGATAGCTATGAAATATTTGGTATTCGGTGAATTTGGTGAATGTCGTCTCAAGAGCGGTCTTCGGTTGCAGAGACTTGTTTGAGACTTTTCCTACGCTCTCTTTAAAATCCTTCTTGCGGTCGTGGCAAAGTGAATTACAAGGCCTATCACAAGGCGTTGAGGAAGGAAACAGTCGATTGAGTGATATCCAGTAGCCACAATTTGGAATGGAAAGGAATAATTCCCCGTTCGTTGAACTATTTTGCCATAATCCATCAGTAATGGAATCAGCCTTGCTAATTTTTTTAGACGCAGTTATGCCTTACCCATTACCCATTTTGTCCGTTTAATACCCTATGAAACCTAGCAGTACAGTGCAGAGACTTATTTGCGACTTTTCCGCTCTCTGAACACTCTTTAAATGTACAGTGCACTTTCTCGTGGCCGCAGAAGTTAGGTGATAAAAAATGCCTTTAGAACTGAATGATCTTCTCAGCAACCTAGCGTCATATTCCATCATTCTCCGAAGGGCTGCTCTATCAATTGAATCGAAGGCAAAACAAAATGTAATATGACGGTAGATTGCTGATATTTAAGCGATGTTCCTGCACCCTTAGCGTGAATATCTTCTGGTCGCATCTTGATCTGGTCCTCCTTTCTTAGGGAATATATTGCTATATTGTCCATATATTGTTTAGCAGGAATGAAGCAAAAATTTTTCCGGAGATATTTAGTGGGCTGATTCCTCGGTAATTGTCGCAGTGTGGCAGAATTACAATTCTCAAGTTTCATCATTTAAATATTTTCGTAATTTTTGTCTGCCCTTTGTTTTTTTCCTTTAACATTTGTGGTTTACCCACTGATTTCTACGTTTAGAAACTCTTAGAGGACCTTTATCCACCAGTGAGTTGCTTAGTCATAAAAATGCCAATGAGCCTTCAGGTCCATCGGATTTCCGCTTTAATGACAAGTTTGATTCAACCAGATGCCAAAAACTGAGCCCGACACTACGCCTAATCTCAATCACATCACTCGACCATCCTGATGGTATTGGAAATTTAATTGTAGGATGATAACGATTACAATAAGAGAAAGTTCGACACGGCACTGAATTATCATCAGATTCTCAACGACAAGTCCAATAAGTTGAAACAAAATTTATAAGATTTTAATGCAGTGGTAATGATTTGGAGATAGGATGGCTCAGTGGGTTGTTGCTCGATGGGAGCGCCGATGCTATGGTTCGATTCCCTGCAGGAGTAAACCTGTACAAAAATATGGGTGATGCTGGTGATTCACCTGTATTTCTGTCTCCAAGGGACTCCCTGGCATATTGCTCAATGTGACAAGCCAGTGGAGCGAGTTAACCAGTGATGGTGAGGATTGTCTCATAATGGTAATGATTTATTCGACATATATGAAATAAATCTTTTCTTGAGCATCTCTCATAAACTATTTGTTAAACCTAAAATTACTCGCGTGTGGCAATGATAATTATCAAATAACTAAAAATAATAGTGGGCAATGATGCTGATAATTCCACTTGCGCAGGTAAATCGTTAATAAAAATTCGTACTGAATGCCAGTTGAATCAGTGATGACTACTAACCACTCACTTTTTCAACGAAACCTCTATCTCAACTACTATTCTCCTTCAAAAAAGCGAGTGATTTTGCATCCTCAGAATGTTCATTCGTATGCGACATGACTCGGTCGATCTTCTTAATCAATTCGCAACCACTGGAAAGGACTGTTGTTCATAATCATAATTATTATTTTATTTATTGTGCATGATGTTGGATAAAGTTCATTTTAATTGGCTGGCGAATTGACAAATTTATTGATAAATTTGTGAATTTTGAACTAAGAAATAAATTTAAGTTAAAGGCTATATGAAACATAATTTGCGAGATTTTAATGTGACCTGTTGATAACGACAATGATAATGATCTTGCGGTTTATTTCAATGTCAATGTTCATCATCAGTCACTCAGAATTATTTGATTACGATAAACTCGGACAAATAACAGCCTTGTATAATAATTTTTTTATTTTTCATCAAATAGGCTTTTTTATTTTATGAAAATACATATATACATATGAAAATAAATAAATTTCGTAAGACGATGATATACTTTTAATAATATATAATATTTTTACCGTAACTTGTTTTATGCCCTTCAACTGGAATGAAAATTTAGCGCGCATGACTTCTCCTTAGTGCCTGTTAGAACGAGCTGGCGAGCTGATCAGTGGTACTGTTGCCTCGAATATCTCCGTCTTTCCTCTTTCCGAGAGCATTAAAATGATGCTGGATCAGTTCAGCTCTATCTCCAAGTGATTCTCATTTTAATAGTTAATGTGGCCAGATAAACCAGAAATAGTGCGTGGTGTATGTGATATGCTTACGTGCAGCAATTTTTAAATGACGAGGACGAGGCAAGAAACCGAAAATTTGCCACGATTTATTATTCCTAATCTTTTTTCATAAGGAATTCATAAAACAATTAACATTAAACCAAATTGCCACAAAATTACTTAAACGATATATTTGTGCTTGAAAATGCTTGGGCAAACAAATTTTCTTAAATTACCTCGAATGTTTAAGTTATTGACCTATATTTATGGGTGGCGACCTTTCTGTTAAGATATATGCTATAATAGAGTTCTTAACTGTTATTTCGAATTAATCTACGAACTTTTTCAATTTTCTTCTGCATCGATTCCATTTGAACGTGTGGCAATAGGCGATAGGATAGTGATCACTGCTAGATAAAGAAAAAATCTGGCCATAAAACTGCATTTTAGGATTAATAAGGAAGATAAGAAAAATGATAAAATGAGTGCAATAACTGAAGTAAAATTATAAACAACTGATAAGCAAAATTATTTCGTAACTCATTAAATGATAATAACTTTTATTATTTTTATTTAGAAAGTGCATAAAATTAAAAAACCGATGAAAAACCGATGAAAAAGATGGGGATTTTTCGGTTACATCTGTGGTGCTTTCGAATTAGCTTTATTAACTTTAATTATTCCTTAATTAAATTAATCTATCAATTCAATGTCCCTTGCTTTTTGAATCATTCGTAAGATGTGAAATAGTTTAAGACTTTGAATCTGAGAATTTTGAATGTGTTTCGTCTATATGCAAGGTTAAATAAACTTGAGCGGATGTCTAAATCATCAGCTGTGAGAAATTTTGTAGCGTTTGATTTAGATTAATCAGCATGATTCCATTTATCATTTTTGCAAACCTGACTTCGTCCTTTGTTTACTGCAATTCCTATTTCATATTTTCGTACTGTTTTTTTTTCGTCACTTTTTTTAGGTTTAAAAAGTTATAAATTAATAGAATTTCCTTTTAAATTTTATATAGAAATTGCATGCTCAATTTTTACTTAATGAGCAGCAAAGGCTCAGCCGAAAAGATCGAATTCCGCTGATGCTAGGAGCACACCTACAATTCTGTCGCCAAATTGGTTAGTTCGTAAAAAATTTCTAACCGTACCAACAGTCTTAACCAATAGTGGTGAGAACTAAACACTTCCGCATACTAAAAATTACAAATCAAAATCAAAGAAAATCAAAGAAAACAGATAATTAAGTGAATTTTTCAACAACATGGATTTTTCTCTTGGTTTCATTAGTTCCACTAAATAAATCTTTCGCCAGAGAGTCACTAGAGGAAAGAATATAAAGTGGTCCACCATTCAGGGTGACACCATAATAACTAAATCAATCTCGTAAATGCATTAACGATGTTGTAAGATGTTTGCGGTAAATGAGGCTCTTCTCTAATGCTTTTAAGTTCCCCTTGAGTTGACTAATTTTTTCTGGGCGATTATTTGTCCTTTCTGGTCATCGAAGTTTTTGCTATTCGTGTCATGATTAGGAATTTTTTCGAATAAATATTCAAAAAGATGATTGGATTGATAGATTAACAGATTAAATAAAAAGCGAAAACTTTAAGATGATTTAATGTTCGATAAATGCCCATTCATCACTTTGTGCCTGTGACCTATGACCTTGACTTTGATCGAATTTCGGCCATTTCGATTCACCCTCTTTGTACCAATTCTTAACATTTTTATCCTTTTGAAAAACTTTTGTCCTTTCTGGTCAATTCATCTTTTGTGATCTTAATTTTTTTAATCTCCTTATTTCAAAAACACTTGGTTGTAAAATGTCTATTCTCACAAATCCTTATAGAGCATGAATTGCGCGATTTGAAAAATGACAAATGCTAGAATTTTACTCAGCAACATCTTTCTTTCATGATTATGGTGATGATTATTAAATTATGGTCATTGGAACAAAAATAATTGCATGAATATCAATCGAATTCGGACATTCTTCGAATAGTTTCTGTTAAAAAAGCGAAATTCCAAATTTTCTGTTTAATAATTCTACATTATTACAAATAAAATATAAATGGTTTAAACTGCTAAATGATATAATTGCTAATATTTGTATTTCATATTTCTGCTTTATTATACAAAATGTGGTCGCTTACCATTTTTTCGCAAGATGGGTTTGCGATAAGAAATTTTTGCCAAAGGGCCATCTGGAAATAAGTATGCAGATGGATAAGTATATTCATCATAATCCGGATTTTTTAAAGGTAGATTTACTGGTGTTTAGCATTCCAACTCTGATGTTTAAGATGAAAAATGCTAATATAAAACGTCTATATAATCAAAATTAGCTCGATCCTGTTATATGGCTCCAAATTATGGCCAGTGAGAGTGGAGAAACCACTTGCATTAATGGAATCATATCATAGAACGTCATTTTCGCTGACTAGGGCGCGTTCTTCGTTATCATGGATGGCGTCAAAAGCGAGGTGGACTAACCAAAACCT